TCCCCAATTAAGTTATACGTTTGCATTGCAACGCAACAGCTCACCGAACGTACCTTAAAATGATGTGATTTTAATGTAGCCAGTAAATTGTTATCACAGAGACTGATTCTAAATCAATTTTGCTCCGAGGAAAGGTGTGCACGTTCTTTCATCACTCGATATTTGTTTGAATGAAGGAAGCACAATGTTCGGAAAATGGATATGAATATTGCGATCTTGTCGGTAATCCGATAAACCTCTTCTATTCCTGGGCCAAGCTTTCTGTTAGTCGGTATGCATGCTTGTATTCAAACTCATGCAAACGTACGTCTATTGTGATCCCACTCGTCAAGTAGCACATCTGTATTTGTCCGGGACAGAAGTGAAAGATGGTTATGCACCAAAATATCACCCAACTGAAATTGATCGATGAATGTGACGAAACCGAGTAAACTCGAGCGGAAGTTTCCAAGCATGAGCAATCCGGTCAAAATCCAATAACTTCATGAAGGTGCACCACATCACAGTGAATATTGCATCAGCCCTGTGATCAATGAACTCCGCGTCGATTACACACAGGTAGGTAGAACCGCATAGGTTGTCGTAGCGTTAACAGCTCCCATTTGAGCATAACAGTTTCCACGATAATTTCAATCCAGAACATGGAACGTTCCTTCCATTACTTATTGATTACCAAAATGTTCATTGAACTTTCAGGAAGGGGACATGGCCTAACGAACACTGCTTGGGTAATTCTGGAAATTGTGACGATGGCCGGTGGCAGCATTCGAGCTCCAGACCTCCAAGTGATTATTTTAACGGCTTTACTACTAAACTCAAACTGCCCATGCTGCACTTTATTCTATCTTCCACTACACATGGGAAATTCCATTATTTTCTTTCACCGGATTTTCTGTGCCACAGTTTCCAATGTTCCGTTCAAAACAGTACCTCGAACATAATCACCTGAACTAGACCATTTAGTTTTCTCTCTGTAAACTTTGCCAGTCCGCCTATTTTATTAATTGCTATTAACGGAAACGTGGTGCCCTTCTAAATGTCAACCATTCTCAACATTTTGCCTGTCCGTACTGAAAAGAGATAGAATCCTATGTCGCCCACCTGTCACCGAGTCGTTTGTGGCATCAAAACTGTCTCGAGAAACTGTCCGATGAGTGAAGCACACAGTCTGAATCAGATTAGAAGAAGAGTTCCTAAAACCGGAAAACGGAATGGTTACAAATGTTTTCTCTCTCCCATAAGGCGGCAAAATAAATGTTTCCTACACTGCAACACAGTGTGTCTGGAGCAGAAAGGCTTCACCGGAGTTCCAAGGCTGTTCACATTGAGAAAGCATCAGACTCGGTCACGGAAAAATCGTCGCACCAAGTCATTCATGTTCATCCATCGGTGACATCTCTCGATATGCAAGATGCTTCAAAATAAAAAGCTGAGTGTAATGCTTGGTACATTGCTGAATCTGTAGTTTCTTCTACTTGCACACTGTGCCATTTTTCCTCGCACTGTGCTCACGTGCAGTGCCTGGCTTATACATAAAACGACCCAGTCGATTCCGTAAAGCGAACCCAGTTAGTCAACAACGGGAGATCAGTACATCGCATGATAAAATGAGCCTTCTTTCATGACGTGGCGAATCAAGTTTACTATCAATGTAATTCCAGGCTACGAAGAAAAGGCACTTTTCCTTTAATATGCTTGCACTGATCTGCAAGTTTTGTGCAACCTTTCATTTGTCTCCAGGATAGGGTCCTTCTTTTACCGAGGCAGAACTGATGTCACTCCCCTCCCCTTACACCCCAAATGTCCCCTGTTCCCTGGGTGACCATCTCAGAAGCATATTTTTATTTGCCAGTGAGAAAAGGAGCTGATAAACTTGCAGTTACGTCTAGGAGTCGATTTCTTAGAGTTACTGAATCCCAAACGGCAATCGTTTAACACCAAAATTTGAGCAACGATTCACAAAGATGGATACGATATCACCGCAAGCAAGTCCCGTGTGAAATATTAATCCGGAAACATACCAGCGCTTTGTTGAAAAATATTAATATTTGGCAAAGATAGAAAGTCATTCACGGTGGCTTAACTCCTACTGCCAGGTTGAAATAAAACTTACACACTATGAATAGGCAACTCGCATAAACCAACACTGTGTCCCAAGTACAAAAAAAATCAAATTCCTATCTGACAACTATTTCAATTTTCAAATTCTTGATTTGGAATATATGATGTTTTTCTTTTCGACAATCTTTTTTGAACCATTTTGCACTGTCTGGGGTTTTCAGAAATGCATTCACCGGCTATTCGTACGTTCGAGGACAATACGGCACCGATTTGCGCTTCTTCCCACGGACGTACACGCATTTCGATCACGCTCAGTGGTGTATTCACTTCCATCCACCCCCACTCTCGCTGGCCCCGATGCCACCGGATATACTCTTGGGATTTGAAAACAATCACATTTCTCTGGTCGCATCCTATCAAGGCATGATCAGGGTCTTGCACTGTGCCTAGCGACGTTGTGGACAATAAACTCACCCGTTCGAACGTTTCTTTCTCAAACAAATAAATTGTAACACGATAGCGGATAAGGTTACCGTTTTGGCACATTTCATCCACTGACAAACGTCTTTTAGATTCGTATCTTATGCCTACAGATGTGTATGTTCATGGATGGTCTCTAATACACTTTCGGGCCCCTGTCTGTTACACTTAATCCTGTTTCAGATGGGTGTTCCCTCCAAGCCTAACATCTCACCCTATAAACATGAGTATTGGTGCTTTTGTCGAGATGTTGTCGTAGTGACCGGAATAATAACGTGTGAAGAATAGCATTCATTGTCTGTGCCACGAAATTATCAAACCTAAGGTCGGGCTCCAATTCGACACAGACAATTCAGGTTGAACTGGGAGTGAACCGATAGGTCAGGCACGCGAAGTCCAAGCGATGGGGACTGAGTTGTGCCCCCCCCACCCACCCCCGTGGACGAGATATTGCATACACAGTGCCGATGAGATCCAGTGAACAAAACACTTGATTCTTGTGCTCCCGTCGTGAACGGCTGACTAGACGAATCGCGGCTTTTCACATGAGGCCTGGGGAAGTCGGATCACACTTTATCAAGCAGTTTTCTCACACCACTACAATCGTAAAACTGGAATTCATTTTTATGTTATTTCTATCAGTTATTATACACTTATTTACCTAAATACTAATTCTATTATTAGAATGGGTGATACGAATGGGAAAAGGTAAGTGCTTTGTCGGTGTAGCCTCGTAGCTCAGGTAGTTGTCTGTAGGCTGTACCAAAGCGTACGCGGCACCCATGTGTGGGTTCGAATCCTACCGAGGTTACTGAACTTTTAACAATTTCTTCATAAGATTTCAATTTGCCAAAATGGCAATTTGAATTTATTATGCAAAGAGTTCAGAATTGAGTCGGTTGGTATCTTAAGCGTTTCGTGAATTGACTGGCACATTGAATAACCCCTCGTTCGAAAACGTAAAACTATTCACGTATTCTGTTTCTGTCCACATTACATGGTGGTAGTTTTTAGCCATATTGATTTGTATGTCTTCTGTCACAGAATTAGTAAACATACCTTCCAACCATTCATTAGAACTGGTTATTTGATCATAACGATATACACAGGGTTATTTTCACGATGACGAACAAGTGCAAGTTAAAATGATATATTTTTGAAGAATCAATTACCAAAGACATTTTTACGGTAGATATGCCAAAATATTGGGTCAAATTTGAATATATGTCTCGATAATAAGTGACAGTCAAACGTGGAACAGTTTTATCGTGTTTTGTATTTCGAATCCTAAATTTTAAATCCGACAACGTCAACGTTTTCTTTAAGAAAACTGCACGTATACCCCGGGTGAGCGCGTGAGCTGCACAACCAATTTGTCTCTCGGTTTTAATTTTCACACTCCTCAGATATATTTAATTTAGAGATTCCAAACCTTACACAAACCATATTTTTGTCGTCTTTAACGAATGTTGGTTTCAGTGCCAGAATGTCAAGTCGACTTCACATCTAATAAAAGAATCTCGAAATATTTTCACTTAACTAAGAAGTGTGATAGACAATGGGATTTGTGCATGTTTGATTTATACACACTAATACTACTGATTTGAACAGACAGTCCTTCGGACTTCACCTTCACTTGCAGTCCTCAGCTCTCCTAGTCAGCCATACACTCAAAAGCCGTAGACAAGTGTTTTGCTTTAATTCGAGCTCATCAGTAGTGCATATTCACTGTCCCGAACGGAATTNCGGAATTTAAAATCCGGACCCATCGCATAGAAGGATTTGTGTTCCCATTAGCTCATACCACGGCTGAACTGGATTAGCAATTCATGTTTGTTCAGGTGTCGTCTTCACTGGTAGTCAATGAATTCATTTGGGCCCGATATCAACGGAGAGAGAAGCAGATGATTATCACTGATCACATCATTACGAAATGGGCTGTAACTGGTACAATGATTTATATTCAGTTCTCTTTCCAAACTATTGCACTAAATAATCAATTAGGTCGTGAATTTGTCATTATTTGTTTTTGTTTTTCGTTTTGGTTAAAGTTCAAATGTTCTTTCACATATAAGAGTGTGACGAACAGCAGACAGCGCGGAACATATAATCACTGAGACCTGCTAATCACTGATGGTAACCGGCAACCTATGCCCCTGGGCTTGAAGTCGCGAACCACATAAGGTCCCGCTACGTCAGGCGTAGTACAGCATCAGGCGATAGCAAGGAACTCTACTATGAAAGATGGGTGGCGTTGGAAGGTCTTGAATCTCCGACTACAGGGTTGAAATCAAGGCGGCGACCACGATTAAACCACTGCGTCATCACCACCCATAAAAGTATAATCTGATCTGAACGCAGGTGAATAGTTCATCCTTCCTTCTGTTACTACACATTTGTTTTCACTTTTTCATGACTCATGCGAGCATCGATGAAATCCGTTAAAATAACTTTTATCATCAAGTGGGTTCGCATTTTATCCAGATTATTGATATTTCATAAATTATTGCAACGTTGGCCACATACAGAGAGTCAAAATAACTCACTTTTTGTCTTGCTCTGTTCAATTTCTGGTCACGCATTTGATCCCGCTCACCAGGTGTCTGGAGACGTCGCACCCGGAACACTATGGCCGCATACGTGCCGCAAATCACACCGAGCGGTAGAAAATATTGCAAAATCATCAATAGAACCGTATAGGCCGAGCTGATATCCACTACTAGGTGGGCACCGATCCACAAATCCATTTCGAACAGAAATTGCGGCGGATTCGAGGTCCGATTCACAATCAGATTAGGAAATAGCACGGTCCAATCCTCCACACATTGCGCACTGAAATTCTCCTCATGCAACTGGTTTACCACAAGCATAGGGAACGGAATGATGCAGGCCAGAATCCACACGCCCACAATCAGGCCCACAGCACTGCGATGGGAAATTCGTGGTCGCAACGGGAAATAGACCAGGACCACACGATCCCACGAAATGACCACATGCGTCAGTGCGCTCACAAACACGCTGATTCCTTGCAGATAACTAAACAGCTTACACATAGTGTAACCCAAAGGCCATGACAGATAGATAATTTCAACTATCACGTGGATTGGAATGATCAGTAGAGCCATGAGAAAGTCCGCTAAGCTAAGATTGAACAAAAATAGACTGGTTATACTGCTCTGTTGTCCAACACGGATATGTCTTTTGACTAGGCGTGATCGGCCGGGGTGCGTTTGTCCCGAAAGCCGAGTTTTGTTTGATCGGGTCGAACAATGATTTGCATCCATGGGTGATGTGTATGCTATGGGCAGCTTCCGGCCCGGGGTGAATATCACATAACGATTGTTCATCAGACCAGACGGAGTGTGCGGATAGGTTTTTCCACAACTGCATTCCTGTTGACTACTCGCATACTCCTCGGC